CTCGATAATGTTGAAAGCACCGCAGGCGCCTATAAAACGCATAGCTTCTAAGCCCGCGGTTGGAAACACATTAATACATCTCTTACGAAAAAAGTGAAGAAGCGGGCTCTCTCCCTTTTACAAATTACGCAATAACTCGCGAAGAAGTTCGGTCGAGGGACGGCAGCAGCAGTCGTCGCGCGAGCTTCCCGCTGGCAAAAAGAAAAAGACGGAGGAGAAGAGCTAAAAGTAGCCGCCAAACGCGAGCAGTCGAAACAGGACACTGGCATCCGCATTAATATCCCGAAACAATGGCCCCCCCTCCGTACGAAAACAAGAGGAGAAGAAGAGAAGCGCGAGCGAAAAGCATATCGTATTCGGAGGACAGACAAAAAGATACGCAGCTAATTAGTAGCCGCGCTGCTACCACGCACAAAAACTTGGCGCAAGGGCTTCGGACGCACTGTAATTAGATTAAAGTTGTTAATTTCAACGCTATGACCAGCATGTGAGTGTGTGCGCGCGCGCGCGCGCGTGTGTGTAGGAGCTGGGCACTTATGGCATTTCGACGATGCGGCTCTCCGAAAATGTGATTTCGGCAAAAAATAACAATGCGCGTTGGAAGAGACGCGAGACCGCGGTCGATTTTTATTACCACTGATGTGCCGCGATAGCCTATATAATGGGGCACAGATGTGCAGCGTGTCGATCGGTTTAATTGAATGTTTTTTTGGTACATACTTCGATCTGATGAACAGTAATATTACGATATTTATTTCGGGCGTTAGTTAAAACTTAAATTTTCGATTAATTTTTCAATTTCAAATTAATGATCAGTCCAAACTTTCTCCAAATCTTCGATCCTCGAAAATATTCTCATTAAAAAAATTATACGCGAAAGTAGGGAGAAAGCATATTCATCTCTTTAAAATGTACACACACACATACAAATATCGAACTCATTAATCAGCCGTTAAAAGAGTATTTTGTAAATGTTATCTCCCTTCTCGAGAAAAAAAGAACACTTCGGCAGTGAACACAACGATTTCTTCTTGATCCGGATTTCGATCTTTTTTTTCATTTTACACATTGTGCACTCTCATTCATCGACACGAAAAGAAAAGTTTCATAGCTAAAAAGCCGTTAAATGTCCACACCCACGCGCGCAGCAATAATATATACGAAAAAAAAAGTTTAATGAAGCGTGGAAGAGAAGACTCGCACACTTGCCGGTAAGTCGCTTTGAAGCTGCGAATCTTCGAAAAGAAAAACAAGAAATAAATGAGGCGGCATTAAAGGGGGTCAATGAATTATATATGTGTGCGTGTGTGCGTGTGTGTGTGTGTGTGTGTGTGTGTGTGTGTGTGTGTGTGTATAGGGCCCAGAACAGAGAATTCGAGGGTCTCTATACTTCCCCTTCTTCATTTGCATGCCTGCCTCATTAAAACTGAGTCTGTAGCTGCTGGATATTTTTCGGGCCACTCGGCGTATGTCCATTATTTGCAAAGAATGTGCGTGTCGCTACAGCGGCCTTGTAACTTTGACCCCGCGCGAGAAGTTTTCTTCGCAATCCGATCCTGTGAACCGATAAGGAACGCCGAGAGAAGAGGGCTTATTACCTGTAAAAAAAGAGGGAAAACTTTCATCGAAGCTGTAAGAAGGGGAACGTTGTAGAATTTGAATTTCTGAAATAATTGGCTGTCGTATGCCGGGGACCCTAACTCTCCTTTGGTATTTTCGCCTTTGTTGCGCGCACGGGACTTCGTTAACACGCGCGCGCAACGCGGTTATGATGCCAAGAATTTTCGCAGGGAGCGCATTGTGAAGGAAACACTGCTGAAAAGAAAAGTGCGTCGGGCTTACTGGAAAAATCGCACTTTCATAAATCATGCGCGAGAATTTCGCCGCGATGAAATCAAGCTTGTTCGTTATTTCTTACTTTTCCGCATTGATTGATGAGACGAGCAAACGTTTAAATATCAGGTCTCATCGTAAAGTCACACAGCTATCGAAATAAAGACTAATGGTTCATACTTAGTCCGAACTTAATCGGTAATCATTATAAAAGCCGCACTCCGTAAAATTTATCACGACAGAAAAAAAATCACACCTTTCCAGAACAAGAACCCACGAAAAAGATCCCATATCACCGAGCGAAGAGACCGAGAATAATGAAGGAACCCCGGAAAGAATACACGAGACATGGATAATATATACACTTTTCTCTCATCATTTGCGTTGATCGTTGCGCCCACCTTCGAGAAAAGCCATTTGCACAAGATCGACGTTTATCATTTCCTAGCGTTTCACTTTTCATTTGGTGGCAAAGACTTTTCCAGTCTCTCTTTCAAGGATGGAAAAGAAATACTTATTTTTCAGAAAAAACCATTAATTAGCTTTTCAAATAAATAAATTTAAAAAAGTAAAAAATAAAAAGAGAGAGATAGAATGAAGGTATATCGTTCGCGTGAACGAGTGTATTAGCCCTCGAGTATATGCAGATTCGCGTGCGAGACGCATATATAACTTGGGCTCCAATTAATCGCAATTAATCGCGTCTGTCAGAGCGGCGGCGCGGACTGACGTCTCTCCTTGAGGAGCGTTCGCAGCAGCGCCTCTCTGTTTTACGAGGAACGAGTTTTCGGAGGACGGCACGAATAGCCAAGCGCGACACGATCATCGATCTCTCTCCCTTCTTGTGTGCGAGAGAGAACGAAGCTATAAAAGGGACACGAAACCCAATGATGCTTTATAACGAGGATGCACACGAAAGAAACCGTTCAATTTGCGAAGTTCAAGTTCGTGATTGCACGCTCTGAAGTCGTTCGGGAATGACGCGACATTCTTTTTTCATCGTCTCTCGTTAAGTGAGACTTCAAAACAAATTTTTTTGTTTTTGCAACGCAGCGACGTCCTTCGATGCAAGCGACTGCCTTTGAATTTCCTGCGAATTTTCAACGCGATATCAGATTAATGGCGACTTAACAGGGTTAACAGAGAACAGATGTTCGCCGAATAATAAAGCATTACGAATCTTCATCGATCTGATATTGAAAGTTTCTTTACTCTGTTATTAATTGATATTTATTCGGGCATAAAATAATTTTAAATAAAAAAACACTTTCAGGAATATTTTAGTACACTTTGTATTTGGTTATTGCTCGTACGTTAGAAATAATAGTTGATTGTTTGTGAGATGTATCTTCAGGTAATATATGTATGTCCAAAATGCCGTCTTAGATTATAGTAATCCAAAAACTTTTATAATACGATACCAATACATTCTGCGGTTTTCTCGGGTTTTTATCGTTCTGTTTACAATACATTTATTTTACAACAAATATAGACTATTTTACTTATTCAATAACGTAACGGAAATTTTCAATATTATAGTACTATTCATCACATGGGAAGTTTAATAATCGACGTTTAAAGAAAGCCTCGTTTACTAAATCCTAATCTTATAACTCTATTTAAGCACTATTACGTACTAACATCTAAATATATCTAACAAAGCTGTGCATCCCAAAAATACTTTGTAATTTAGGGGAAAAAATCAACAGCAGAAAAAAAGAAAGTCACGCATGCTCATTTTGGTAAAAAAACACTCTTAAAAATATCTTTGTTCTTCATTTATAAAAAGATTATATCAGACCTCGGAGATCTTTGAAGCTGTGCGATATTACTCGAGCAAAAAGCAAACAAGGAGCCAAAGGCGTGTACGCCGTTTTTAAAAGGCCTCTATACACACACACGCGCACGCACGCACACACACATTCACGCGCGTTGGAGGGAAGAAAATACACAGCGGTTGTTGTAAGCTTGCGAGAGGATTTATGCTGCTTTAGCGAAAACTCCACATCCAACTACGATGCGATTTTCGACGCCTTTTTATTACAAAACTTAGAGGCGCAAAACTTGGCTCCTCGTAAAGATCGTCAGAGGAAAGACGACGAGATGTTCTCGCCGATAAAAAATTACAGCCGCTCGTCGCGGAATGCGATAAAAAAAAGTAAGAGAAAGAAAGAGGAGAGAAAGAAGTGTGCGAGAGTGGCTTTATTACTTATTTTACACGGGACCAAAAGCAGCCAATCCTTTTACGCGGACTTGTTAATTGCTCGGTACATGATGCCTTCGCCGGTAGGGGAGAATGATGTATTGTACAGCCGGATGACATCTTCGTGAAAAATGCCTTTTTAATTGCTTTTAATGATCGCTTCGTCTGTGAATTTAAAAAAAATATATATTTTAATTTAGAATTTTTAGTATCCCATGAGAAAGATATACCAAGTTTAATCATCATATGATCTCAGCGGAAATGTGTTATCTCATTGGGTAGTCAACTTAACTTCAAAAAAGTTATTTTTCTCCTAAATGATTCGAAAAGTAAATTATTTCATTGTTGTAATACATATTTGATTAGCAATAATTATTTTAAATCGACGCATTTAAGAATCATTACCATACAACTTGTCGGAAAATATGCAACTATCATTTAACATGGTAAGTCAAACAAACAAAAATTGCATAAAACGAAGCAGCACCAAGAAGAGACGCCAATAAATATCTCAAGATGCGTCGTTTTACAACACTGTAAATCAATTTATCTTGGAGTGCATCGTTTCCCACGTCAAATGGGCCCCCACGTCGAACTGCGGAGACGCACTTTTCTCAAATTAACACTGGTTTACGATGTTTTATGAAACTGGTAGCGACCGAGTGATATTTACACAATGGAAATTCGTTCCAAGATTGACTAATCTGCCGCATGCAGCAGACTCCTAGAGAGTAAACAGAAAATGGGTCACTGCTCGAGTTTTCATCTCCCGTATTTTTCCAAGTTAAATAGGCTGGAACTAATTGAATCTTTATGATTTCGTTGGATTATCAAATATTTGAATTATTAGTCATTCAAATTGTCACGTTAAAGTGACAACTACTAAAATCTAGGGGTTATTCCGTATAAATATTTATTATAAGATTCAAAAACTTTTTTTTAAAAATTGTTATTTTTGTTGCAGGTAAGGATTGCCGACATTGGTTCCACGCCATCAAATTCGAAGTAAGATATACAACCGTACCACACAGGCCATATATTTTCTTTGATTAGTTGCTGTAGGAACCGCAGACATCCCTGAACAATGCAATTCTTAGCCTGTCAAAAATTCATATGGCAAAAAGACATCCCGAACTCTCCCCTGTAGCAAAACGCAAAAAAAAATACCAATAACCGAAATGAAACAATAAGCAAACAAACGAAAAACCAACTTCCAACCGCGCGCAGCTAAGAGCAAACATCCAATAAATCCTGCAGCAGCAGTGCCTTGGCCTCAGAGAGAAAAAAACTTCATAAATTCCGAAAGTGCAATCGAACGCTCGTCTCGGACGCGCCTCCTGGTAATGCGCGTCCGCGCCTTTATTTGCCGATGCGCCGGCGTCTGCAGCGAGCAAGCGAAGCAGCAGCCCCGAAAAAAAGAACAAATTCCATGGTCACCGCCGCCGGCACCACACCAGAATCCACTCTCTCTCTCTCCCCTCCCCCCTCTCTCTCTCTCTCGTAGCAGTGGCGGCGGTGTGGAGGAGCCTATTATTTAAAACGAAAGTAACGGAAGGAGGGAGGGCGAGCCTGAGCAAATAATACCGTAAAAGTGCCGAGGTCTTCCCGCCTTTCTTTTTGGTTCCTAACCCTCTCTTTCTCGCTCAGAAGACGTCTCTTCTTGTTTCTTAAATCTTCTCTCTCCTACTCTCTCTTGTAATTTCCTTTGGCTGTTTGCACCCCATCTCAGACCTGTTAATACGTACTTTAAAATATGAGCGTGCGTGTATATATGAACGATGTTTAAACTGTAAATGGAAACGTTTACGAAGGTATTAATCTAATCTTGCATTGTGAAAATGGATATTTATGAATATACATTAAAATATATTTGTTTGTATTTAACGCTTTTAATTCTTTGACAGTTTCATTCATATATTATATTATTGTAAAGTGTAAACATTAGAAATAGTCGTACGAATTTTAGTAACAAGTTTGAGGTTAGGGTCATCAATTACGTACAAGTATCCTATTATTATTTTCTAATTATTATGCGTAGTCAATAATTGCCCGTCATACATATAAAATTGCAATACAACGCACAGATATTGATTTATAAATTGCAATTCAAAGTTACAAGCAATAAATTACATCGTTGAGGCGTAATCCTAACCTCGAAAACCACCAAAGAGAAAGTTTGAGGTTAAACAGGCAATTTCTGTTTTTCTTCGTTTTATTTCCATCTCGAGTCCTCGGCGCTTTTCTTTTTATAATATGCGCATGTCGGTATGAGTATGTTTTTAAATAAATAAACGTGTCTTGGAATAACAAGATAATTTATCTACATACATCATGTCTATACGCAGGGTAATCCATTTAGCATCATTTTTTCGACCGTTAATCGCGTCACTTTCGCGAACGCAGCATGCAAATATATCCCCCGCCGCCGCCAGTTTGCTTCTCTCTCTCGCTCTCTCTCACTCTCTTTTTACTCTCTTCTCATCCTTCCTGCACCGCCGCCGCGCACACGCTCTTGTTCTCTTCGTTTTCTCTTTCTCGCTCGTTTATCGCCCTGGCGTTCGAACTTCGCTTCTCTCTCGCTTTCTTTTTCTTTATTTCTCTCTACCGTGCGCGATTCTCAATTCAGACCCAAGGAAAATTAGTACATCTCTCGTTTTTACCTCTCTCGCGTGGGGATTCATTAAGTCGTTCGTAACTGGGGATTTCATTTTTTGGCACAACTCACGGGGACGACCCTTACCTTATTGGTATACTTAAAAAATTCTCTCTGCTCCGCGGGGCAAATGCGCACTGTGGAAGGGTAATTGCCTTGAATGACGTTTTCTTCGTAGTTTATTACGATTTGCTTGATTACACGTGAGCGTGAGTATCGCGCGTATATGCGTCTTTGGAGCACTGGGCAGAGATCGCTTTTGATAATATACACTTCCCCGCGTATCTTTTACGTGTAAGCAAGCGGAATTTCACATTAAATTGTCATAAAGAGAGATTGAAAAATCTTTCGTAAGACTTTCATCGTCGCTTGTAGACAGCGCAACGAACAACGTTTCTAGGCGTACTTATGTGCTACGGCAATGCAAAGAATCTTACCGGGCTCAATTTCTAATAAGCATAAATCATAAGAGAGCGAGCCGGGCGCGCATAAGCAAACTCTTCGGCCGTGCCCCGCTTGAGGGCATTACGCTAACTAACAAATATACGAGCAAGAGGACCACGCGCTCCGAAAATTGGCGCTTGCCGTTTTAGCCCAAACGTGTACACTGTACACACAATGATCGCGACGCCCCGCGCACGCATCTTTTAATTAGCGCGATAAAAGATTGCTTTTCGATTCGATTCCGCGTATGTATTGGACAGCGATTACAGAGGTTTTTTTCTTCATAATGGGGCGACTGAAAGATTTGCTCGTTCTTATAGGCATCTTTTACATCTTTAGATTTTTTGAAAAATAAGTCGAACGTCACATAATCCGAACCACTAATTTTGCCAAGGCGACTACGTAATGGATTTTAAAAAAACATTGTGGCGGTTGAATTATTCAATTAAATAAACGTAAATCACGTTGGAAGAAATTTTATCGTAATTTCATATCAAAATTCCACGAGGCGAATATTGCACTTTATGCTGCCTCTCCAATTCTCATACATTTTGATATGCCTACGATATTCATATATATGTAAAATTTAAAATATGTAATTTGTACGCAAGGATTAATGACGGCAAAAAAGAGTAAAACTAAGCATTGCAGGCATAGACAAATAAACTTACCATGATGTAATTAACGTAATATATGTTCGATGATTGACCAGTTAAATGCATGCAATGTGCGTGTATAAAACGTCAAGCGGCATTTTGTTTTTCTTCCTTTCAAATATTCTTATTTGCATTAAGGGATAGGATCGCGTGATGATAATTAGAAAAAGATAGTTGCTCGTTGCTGCCTTTAGAGATCGATGGATGCTGCATAGGTCAATACTCGCTCGAGTGTTGCGTGCATAAATTGAATTTCAATCGTATTTATGTAATATATTTAAGCCATTCGGACGCTTAAGAATCGCGTATCTTTCGATGTCATTACCTTTACAGCGATAAATAGAGAACTCGCTGAACAAAACGTTCTATCATCGATTATTAAAATTACATATATCTAAAGACACCAGAAATAAGTATAACAGCGCTTGCACGCGGCGCTGACACTAATAAATTGATTCTCTCCCGCGTTGAAATCTCCTTGCGAGCTATAAGCTAAAGGATCGGCTGCATATACACAGAGAAGAAACGTTCCGCGACGAGGAGCCATTCTGCGCTAGTAAGCCGCTCTCTCGCAAAATTGCGCTCCTCGATAATTAAAACTGGGTAAAAACGCTGCTTCCGTTGCGCCTATAGATACACGCGTGCACGCGCGCGCGCAGTAAGCCTCTTTTTTTTCATATGCATGCGAACCCTCATATCGCTGCGCGGCTTTTCTGTTTGTTTTTCTCTTACTATAATACTTTGCGTGCGAATTTCCCATAGCATGAAAATTGATTTTTTATGGTAATCTATGACGAGATCGTACGCGGTTGATGCGTTTTTGTTTATGAACTTTCGAGAAAATTAGGCAGTCGCGTAAGAACTGGACGAACCGTCCAAACAACAAATCGTCGGTCATAAATATCAGCAATATTTACCGAAGAGTTAAACTGCAAGACAAACAACGCTCGGCGCATTTCCGGCAATCCATATAGCCTTTGGGCAATAAGTCACCAACGTCTGCCTGCTCTGTGTGTGTGTGTGTGTGTGTGTGTGTGTGTGTGCACGCGCGCGCAGGTTATTATAACCGCTAATAAATGTAGTATATCGCGGTGATTATCCGCTAAGTATAGGGTGCTCCCCCTCTCCTTTCTTCTTCTATCTGTATAATACTGCGCTCTCGCAAGCAAGGCGGTCGCGCGAGCGACGACTGCAAGCAGAGAGCTGCGCTGCGCGTCATCTCGCGCCGTAACTCATATCCAGCGCGCATGAGCGAGGAAGTATCCAAAGGGGAAACGATACACTCAACGCAAATAAATCATAAATTCATAACGCGCCAAGGGGTTGAGAGAGTAAGAGAAAGAGAGGGGGGTTGAGGCTGCCATTGTGCGTTCGCTACAGGAAATTGGTGCCTCGATTTATTGCTGTTGAGATATGATGATGATTGGCCGATGATTGTAATCTTGCTTTCTGGTGAATTTTCGAGGTTCCACGTGCTAACTTTTTCGATTCGACTGTTATGTAGATATACGTTTACTGATAAAATTTGTTTGAATTTGTTTGATATATTTCTTTAATGATAAATAAGGCACATATGTTTATTGAGTTTCTGTTATAAATTTTCAAAGAAGTTCAGCCTTAAGAAAGTACATTCAAGTGTATTTCAAGACTTTTATTTAATGAAATCGATGCGTGCACTTTTATTGAGTTATCGTTGTAAACATTGAAGGACATTAAAGTTTTGAAAAAATGTCGATGAAAAATGAAAAATAATTGAAATAATAATGTACAATAGTGGAAATTAATAATGAAATTTGCGCCTAGAGCGCAAACAAACATCGCATAAAGAATATTGGAAAGGAACGCATCCCTCGAATTATATCCTCTGCGAAGCCCAATCTTTATCATCGACAAAGTTTATTCAGCTCAACGGCCATACGAAAATTACGGCGTAACAGAGCTGTAATCCACACAAAGTTATAAACTATCCTTCGATCGCGGCACGCAGTTATCGCGTTACGCAACCTATAACCGATTGTTAGACCGCAATTCGGCATATATCAGCTCCCTTCCTCTCTATAGAATTACATCCTTTGCAAAACCTACATGCTGCGGAAAGAGTAAATGAGGAACAGCTGATGTGTTCATATACACACCGTTGTTGATATTTATCGGGCAAACTGGTAAGACGGTAATTTGCTTCTTTGATGATTAGAAACCACGTCGTGGTCGCGGTCATCGTCGTCGTCGAGAATAACAGGAATTACAGTCTC